TGGTCAGATACATATGGTGGCTCATGATGTAAAAAGGCCCTGGGGTTGGAAGTAACTTCATATCATTTAAGAAATAAAAGAAGAGCTCAAGGAAAAGCTCACTTGGTAATGTGCTTGCCTTGCAAGAATGAAGTCTTGAGTTCACATCCCTATAATATATGATGTGCATATGTACCCCAGTGCTGGTGATGTAAAAGATAGAGATAGGTAGATCCTTAGGTGATTGTGGGAAAAGCTAGCCTGGCCTATATGAAAAACTTTCAGGACAATGAGAGATCATATCTGAAACAAAAGGTAAAGGTATTTGAGAATTGGCCCTTTAAATTGTTCTCTGACTCTCACACATGTGTCATGCACATATGCACCTAAATAAATATATAAATAAATAAATAGTACTTTAAAAACTAGGACAACCTCGTGGGTAAAGGGGCTTGTTTTGTCCTTTGACTATTTGCTATAAAGTCCAGCAACTTGAGTTTGATTCTCAGAACTCACACAGTAGATGGAGAGCATAAACTCCTTCAAGTAGTCCTCTGATCTCCATACATGTTCTGTGACACATATTAGCCCCACCCTACAGGCCACTGAATAAATAAAATGTAGTTCCAAAAAATAATTGAACAAAGACTATGTGTTGGAGTGCAGTGGGTAAGAGGGGAGAAGCCTGGATGAGGATAAAGGGTAATCAGGGGTCATATAACGGCAGAAAGACTGGTGGGGACCAGCATACAGTTCAGGATACAAAGAGGGCCCATCAGATTCTGACAATGTTACTGTCTGGTACAGTTCTGTAACAGAGTAATATGGTCAGAGATTATTTTCTACCTGGCTTCCTCTGCCCCAACCTAAGGGCATACATTCAGCTATTTGGACATCTTCTTCAGCAGCTACAACTGAGATTGTCTTCTACCATCTAGGCTGATGCTTCGTCCATGTTTTATCTCTTATTTGAACCTCAGCACCTCTGAGTTCTAAGTATCTCATTCCAGGTTCCCACATACTGCCTAGGAATGCCAAGAACCACTTAAAATTAAGTTAGTCCTTTGACTATTTCATACATGTGAAGAAATACATCTTGATCAATCACTCAGCCTGTACCTTCTTATCTCTCTTCCATCTCACGTCCCTTCCTCAATGAGTTCCCTTCTAAGATTCATGTCATTTGGGTTGATTTTATGACCCATTTAGTTTTACCAGGGCCATGTGTGTGTTCACTGGATTGGAACTGTCCATTGGAGCCTGGTGGATCGAAATGGGACTACACAATAAAACTCAATAGCTCTCCTTTCCCTTGGCTTATCAGTAGCAACCCAGAGTTCTGCAGTGAGAATTAGCTATCCCACCATCCTCCTCCATTCACTCCTGAATACTGATGGATTCATTCTTGTTTAGACCCACTGAAAGCACAACCAGCTGCTGTGGTTCCCTGATTGTAATGACTGTCTCTTAGCCAGATTGCATGTCACGGCCCTTATCCCCATTTTTCAGCTCTTACATTCTTTCCACCCCTTCTTCTACAATAAAAGAACTTCTACAATAGGGCTTTTAAGTATGTTTATCTTTCATTTCCCATATACTGCTCAAATTGAGCCCATCCCCAATCTTTCAAAGATCAGCTCTATTTAGTAGTTCTACACTATCTCCTGTATCTCTCAAATTAAAAAAAATAAAAACACAAGAAACTAAATTTAAATTGATCATCTTTGCATCCTGTTTTTTACTGCCTTCCTTTCAAAGTCTGAATTTTCTGTTTCTAAACTAAAACAATGTTTATTTACCTGCTATTGCTGGTTTTCTCTCCACAGCTCTGAGTAGGCCTATTACCAGGACTGGACTGTACTCTGTAAAGGAATTTGGAATGTTCTGGAATTTCTCACACTTGGAACAACTTATTGTGCTGCCCCTCTAAATGATGGGATAATGTTGTTGGAGTTATAGGCAGTAGAAATATTGACTTGGCACTCAGTTCCTCATTTCAGGTTGGTGCAGCCTCAGAGTGTGACTAAGAGCTTACAACCAGAACTTTCTCCTGAGTCTACTCTAAGGTTCACCTTTGTTACTTCTTGTGTAACTATCTGAGAGACTGTGGTGGAGGAAGGAGTCAAAGTCTGGTGAAGACTAGGGTGTCTTCTTACTATAATCTAAGACAACTTCAGAGAAATGTGTATACACTGTAGATCTAGTCTTAGTTTGACTCTTTCTGGAAAAGGTTCTTGCTCAGTCCATCCCATTCTCATTTACCAGATACAGATTTCTTTTGAGGAGCCCTCCATGAACAGAGCACTGGAACATGCCTCTAAAGCCTTGCCTCAGGTTCTGCTTCTAGAGATCACAGGGGACACAAATTAGAGCTACTAAGTATATAGCATAACAGGTAATGGGTTTAGGGTCAATTCAGAATGACCCCAAATGAGTACTTAGGGCTGAAATACATGATAATTGTCTTGCTCTATGGGCTTCATACAGATGAACATGGATAACGCTAGAGAACCCAAGGTCATGAACAAGACAGCAGCAAGTTACTTTATCACCAAAGTGCTGGCCTGTATCCCGCATGTGATTTTTTCCAGATATGAAATTCCTATCAGCAGACCCTCAAGAAAGATGCCAAAGTGGTTGAAAAGTGAAGATACTTCAAGAGATAGTGATGACATATTTCTGGGACTTTATAAATGCCTGATTCTTGTGGAATTCCCAGCATTGACTTTCACTCTTTGAAAAAAAGTTATCTATAGTAAAATCCCACCAAAAAGAAGTTTGACCTAGGCAGTAAAAAGAATGAGGGGGTCACATATCTTTCTTTCATTTCAGTGCCTTATGGGCACTACATGGATTCAGATAATATTTACTTTTGATTGACTATTGGATGTTCCAAATGTTGTGACTTTTATGGAGCAGACACTGACCAAGCATGAATTTCCTTCTCTTAGCCCTAGTGTTATATTTCTCAAGAATCCTTCTCCCCTGGAACTGTATTGATAAGGGATGGCTCCCTGAACAATGATAGGTTGGAATTTTATGTTAGATAGTTCTCTGCCCTTCTCCCAAATGGTAAGGGAGTCTCTGGTTTGGAGGAGGAAGTGTTGAATCTCAATGTACTACAGAAACCAGATTTGGATGCTGCAAATGCCCCAAAAAGCATTTCCTAGGCTTAATCAGCTAGTAATGCACACACTCATCCATGCATCTCTACCATTTCACACACTAATACTTTACCTGTGCTACTAATAAAAGACTCTAACCTAAGGTTACACAAGAGGAGACACAGTTACACATGTCTATTCTGGCTCTTCCAACACCATTGCTATTCTCCATCTGACCAGCAATGTGTGTTTGGAAAAACCAGTATAATAACCTTCTATACATCTGAGGACTATGGTCCTGAGACTGGGGGTAATGTACAGCCTTATATATTGTCCCATCACTCCCCTGTGTCCCTGTTGCCTCTCAAGTCATATGTTCACAGTTCTCAGGAAAAACATACCTAGCAAAGGAATCTTTGAAGGAGTCTATGTCTCAGTGCGTCTCTAGAACCTATAGCAGGGAGAGCAATCATCTTTCACACTCCTTGTGTAGAGTGAAAAAATACTGGGAAGTCTTGGGGTATTACCATAGCAAAGGGATTTTCTCTGTGTTTCTTACTCCTCTCTGGCTGCCTATTTAAGTGGGATGCTACAGACACACAGCTTCCTGATTTCTGTGTAGAGCCCCAGTGCTACCCAATTGATGACATTCTTCCTTCTACATTATCTGTTTATTTCAGGGGCAATGCCTGCCGAGGCCTGTGATTTGTGTCACTTTTGTCTGTAGGCCATTAGTTCTCCCTGCCACGAGAAGGCTATTTTATCTCTTGCCACAGAATCCTTTGAGTTCCTCAGAGGGAACAAGTTAGGAACATGCCAGCTAAGGGGGCTTCTTATCAACTAGGGTCCTAGTGTTCCATCTTCTTCCTGTACCATCCCTTTGGCTTCTAAATATGCAGCTGAATTCTTAGAATTTAGAAAAGTTCTAAGAGGTCTTGGAGCAGGCTTTGATAGCTGTATTTCTACCCCACCCTACTTCCTTCTTTCTCCATGTCTCTCTTTATATACTCTTACTCACTGTCTCTCCTACCCATATGTATGTGACTCCTGTGTTCTCACACATGTACAGACATTCACATATGTACATATGTAAACCTGAGTCATCATTGCCTTTGTTGATTATATTTATGATGATATGTATAATTATATTTATAAATGTTATACCCTTGGAAGTAAACTGTGAAATTGTGTATGCTGTGAATAAATGCAAAGAACAGAGACCAATTTTGTTTCGAGTGTATTGGTGGGGGAAGTTCTTGTCGAAAATATCAATTCTGTAACAAAAAGATAAACCTGATTTCTAACCATTCAACCTTGTAATAGGTTAAATGATAACAAACCATTCATTGATTTTGTTTTTTTTAAAGTAATAAACAGAAACATGTACCAATTGAAAGAGCCAGGCAATTCAATTATAATTAGGGAAACAAAAGTGATGAGCCTGAACAATGCTGCCTTAGTGTTTTGGGGGATAAGTGTTGAAATGCGAAGGACATAACAATGCAGTGTCTGCTTTCTCATTTTAAAGGCACCAATACTAATCACCTCATACTTGAAAGCCATGCACTCACTGAATAAAGTAGAAAAGCTCAGCTACAGGTTTAATAGAAAAGCTTAAAGAAACAAACATAGACACAAATACAATGGATGTATACATGTGCATATACAGAATCAATTTTCAGGTAATTTACATTCATTGTAAAATCCATCCATTTAAATAAATATGTTGGGTGTTATTATTATTTTTTAAGCTCTATGTTATGAACATATTCTATGGTGATACATGGTAATGCAAATGACCCCCCAAATAATTCTTTCCCTTTGGTTAGAGATTGTTCCATAAACTGCCCTTGTGGGAACACAAGGAGCAAAGCTTATATTGCTGGAGAACAGTCAGACAAGGACAGATCAACATACCTTTTGTAGCCAGACGCACACAGTTGATTTTTGTTTCCTGGGGAAAAAAAGAGAATGAGACAGCAGTTAATTGATTGTTGACTATATAAGCATTATTGTATAAACTACTTAGGGATTTGTACATATACATATGCATGTACAAGTATTTAATTATAATTTAAAATTTGTCCTTTCCATTTTCCCCCTATTGGGATCACTTTTTATTTTTAGCTCTTTATTTCCTCTCACACTTAGAACATATGTTGTTCTGTTTGTTTCATGGCACCTACTACCTCATCAACCTTTTCACTAGACAGAACTACTTTATAAATATTCTAGTACCCAGAAAGCTTAGCAATATTCAGTGGTTATGTGATAGTTTACATGGTGCTTTGTTCTCACATGTGAACTAGCAGATGGAATCAAGCATTCCTTAGGAAACTTTGTTATAAGCAGGAATGCATATACCTGGACAGACTGAATGAAGACTTCACTGAATGAAGTCTGGGTGAAATTTTTTATGAATCAAACCACAAAGTTCACGTTCTAAAAGTTACTTTGGTTCTGAGATCTTTGGTGCATTTCATGGTCTATGGAACTAAATCTCTACTGGGTACTCTTATGTTCTCTCTCTCTCTCTCTCTCTCTCTCTCTCTCTCTCTCTCTCTCTCTCTTTCTCTCCCTCTCCTTGTCTCTGTGTGTGTGTGTGTGTGTGTGTGTGTGTGTGCACATGTTCATATGTGTCTGTCTATCTGGGTAGTCCGTATATAAATCTTTACTGGGTGAACTATTAGCTAGCTGTTTCCCAAGAGAAAAGGTTTCATAAATCTGTGACATTGCTGCCATGCTGTGAAGTTACAGCAAAATGTGCTAATAAGGAGAACCATCTTAGCTTGCTTTACAGGAACTCATTTTCCAGGAGGTCCTGGAACTGGTGGAGATCTCATCTGACTAAATTACAGTTTGAAGTCAATGTAGCAAAGAAAGTAAAAACAAGGAATGCAAAGGTGTGAGATGCCAAACCAAATATCTGTCAAGAACCCAGAGCCTATTATAGGATCTACACTTTCTTGTAGGTATTTGGGTCCATCTGGTTAGAAAGATTGCATTGCAGTAATCAACCCTACATCCTCCCATGGATAGAAATGGCAAAGCGTTATTCTCTACTCAGACTACCAGTCCAGCATAGGTGTATGGCTAGATCTGAAGGATGGGAGTGGTGTGGCATGTAAATCACTTATTTAGTACTCTGAGAGATAAAGGCAGCAGATCAGTCCATTTTAACCCAAAGTGAACAAATTCTGAGAAGGCAAACTCTAGAAATTGAATGCTTTATTTTAGAAGTTTCATTGGCTAGAACTAATGATATGACCACACCCAGTTTCTTTCTGTGAAGAAAGAAAATGGAAACTTCCATAGCTTATACCCAGAAGCACAGAAGAAATGGCAATGTGGCTGACAGAGTCTATTCCATCTTTGCATGGCCCTGAATGCTACAACTTGTCTCCTTTATTAGCTCAAGTACAATTTCCTATAATTAAGTCCTGCATCCGAGATCTAGCTCCTGACTGCACAGAAAGCTTACCTTTGCTTGCAGAGAGAAAGTGCTGTGATACTCAAAGATTTGTCAGATCATAAATGTTCTTTGTCAGCAACAGCCCCCTCCAAAGATAAGAAGGGTTCAAGTCTTCTGAGTACCCTTTGTGACTCATTCTGGGATAACTTCTCTTTTGTGTCTCCCAGTATGCGATAAGAATGGGGGGCAGAGCAGGGCAGTGGTGGCACATGCCTTTAATCCCAGCACTTGGGAGGCAGAGGCAGGTGGATCTCTGTGAGTTCGAGGCCAGGCTGGACTGACAGCCTCCAAAACGATACAGAGAAACCCTGTCTTGTAAAACCAAAAAGAACAAAAAACAAAAAAACGAATGGGGGCAGAGTCTTTATGAGGCTTTGTCTTTATATATCTTTATCTAGACTATCACTATTTTCATTACTTATATTGAGCTTCTAATAAGATAGTCAAAGTACAGAATCATATCTATCACTATGGATTCTATCTTCTTTATCCAATTCTAATAACGCATCCTATTTCTATCACTTACAAATTTTTAGAAAGCATTTTCCAACATTTCATCTAAATGATTAGCCAGTAGTAACCAGGAGAATGGCAGTGGAGGAGCCCTGTGGTATACACTACAAGCTCTTATCCTGACTAACATTCACTTACGCACCAGAATCTTTCAACTAACTAGTTATCAGTTCTCCTGACTGCTCAAGCATTCAGAATTCTTAAATAGCTTAAGTGCTCATGTTTGTAACTTCTGCACAGTAGAGGTTCAAGTTGCTGGTCAAGTTCATTGCAGATATAGTTTGTCTGCCTACTGCGTTTGCCTAACCTATCAGCCTGAGGTATCTCTTAAAGAAGGAAGGTTGGGTTGGCCTCATTTGTTCTTTGAAATGAGTATTTCCTTTTTCATTATGAAAATGTTCCTGTAAATAATAACTGATGGGGAATGGTCTTCTGTGTATATGTTTTAAAGCACTGTTGGCAAATAGGGAAGCAAGATAGGTGGAACTAGGAGAGGTGGAGGATTCTGGGAAATGGGGGCACTGTTACCATGTAGGACATGAGAGGTCCAGACCCTTTCTCCTATAAGAGAAGACCTCATGGAAATACTCAGATTAGCAGTTATGAGTAAATAATTAAGTCAGAGTTAGCCAATAAGAAACCATAGCAAACAGCCAATAGCTTCATAATTAATAAAGCATCCTGCGTGTTCATTTGGGGCTGATGAGGCTCTGGGACCAGGCTGGCAGAAAGAATGCTCATTATAAATAACTGCATTTTATAGGGTGACAATTATAAATGTTAAACAGTTGAACAAATAATGGTTCAAATATTTGAAGTATTCCTTTTAGGATTACATATGAAAATTGAACCTTGTTACATTTCAAAGAAAAGGTTATTTTTTAATTAAAGAACACATCCAGAAGACAGAGAGAAAATGACCAAAAGGCACATAAAAAAGAGAAATAATATCAAAAAGGCTGAAGTCAAAAATAAGTTAAAGTGTGCACATGATGTTAAAGTGAACAAAATAATAGTTTGCTTTTCATATTGGTAGAGAGAGGAAGGTCCTTAAATTCCTGCAAGTTTTCAGTTCTGTGCTTTGTTTAAAGGGCCTGAGATAGTTTGAGAAAATGTGACCTTCAGAAAACTGAAGTCCTCCAAATGGTGGTATCACCTTGATCAGCACACTGACCACCTCTGGTCAACCAAAGAGTGGGAGAGGTGTAAAGATATGAGTCAAAAGCTCATCAACAATATCTCAGTATAAAGGAAAAAGATTTGGAAAACATTGGATAAGAAAATTGACTGGTTTTTATATGGTAGCTGCTTATAACAGTGGGCAAAGATTTGATGAAGCCAAAATTGTTGCCGTCATCCTTCGGTATCCAAACTATATGGTGTCCATAACACCCACGGATATCAAGCCCACAGATGTGCAAGTTCCTAAAGTCTGTCCTCCAAATGCATGATTCTGCATCTGTAGATGCAGGCAGGAGACTGACTGTACTTAACTTTAAATCTTTTCACATCTAAGATGGTGCTTTCACAGAATAATTTTGAACATAGAAAATGACGTTCTGATTAAACACGTTGGCTCTAGAGTGCAAACTCAGAGAAGTCCAGCTATGCAATCGCAGTGAAGGGAGTGGTGGCACATCCCTATAGAAGAACATGAAGAAGTATTTACAGCTAAAGTGATTGTGAGGGACATGTAATTACATAATACAATAAGTATAAGAAATATTGTGAGGGGCTGGAGTGAAGTCTCAGTTGTTAAAAGGACTTACTGTCCTTGCAGAGGACCTAGGTTAAGTTTCCATCACCTGCACAAGAGTACACAACAACCTTAACTACAGTTCCAAGGGATCCAGTGCTCCCTTCTGGCTCTAGAGGACACCAGACATATATGTAATGCACATACACATATGCATGCAAAACAGTCATACATGAAAAATAAAAATTTTAACAAGAAAAAATTAAATGAGTAAGCAAACCACTATTGTTCTTCTAACTTATGGGTAGTTCCAAGTATGAAGAGAAGTCCTGAAGGAAGTGTAATTGATGCACTATTAATTAGATATGACACACAAAAATGCATCCTAGATACAGCCTGACAATTTTATCATCAAGTAAACACACATTTATGACAATCATCCAAATCTAAAAAGACCCAATGCCACCAACATATTAGATATACCTTCCCAGCTCCTTCTCAGCACTTCCTTTTGGCAAAAGCGATTAACCTGCCCTCTGTGGGTTTAAAATGTGTGTTCACATGGGTGGGAAACTTGGGCAGCTACAAGGGTTTGTTCCATCACCCACTTTTGCTCCCTGTATTATTTGTGAAACTTCCTAACTTGACTTAGAATCATCTTTCCCTTTCTGCTTTCAAGCCTGAAAACCAAGTCGTTTCCTCACTCCACACCTTCATCTTTGCACTTGGCAAAGTTTGTTTCTATAAGGTAGAGTGCATATCTGCTTACACTAAGTCTTCCTGATTTTTACAACATGAAGCTGACATGTTCACTTTTTCCTAAGTTCCTGACAGTTTTAATTCCATAAGCAATCTGTCTTTGTTGGTTAGAATTAGGTGAAGAATTACAAAGCTCTGAGTCACTCCCTTGACCTTCCTGTTGATTGGATTGTCAGCAAGTAAACCAGAGCCAGGCTGGACACTGTAAATTCTATTACATGGGAGGTTTGACCAGTGTGCATATGTCTAGAGTCCCAATCAGATTAACATGAATAAAGTATTTTCTCTGTGCTCAGACTATGTAAGAACTTGGAGTGTATAGTATTTTTTTGTTCTATCTCTATCATACCTTACTCTGGGTCCATAATCTATATTGGAGCAACACACATTACTTTCTTATCTTTTAAACCTTGATCATGTCTTCCTTCTTGCCATAGATTTGAAAAATCAGTTTTTACACATTATGTCTATGAATGCCTGTCATCATAAGCCATGTCTGACTTACCCAATAATA